CCCCCCCACACCCCCACACCCCCACACCCCCACACCCCCACACCCACGCCCACACCCACACCCACACCTACGCCCACACGCACACGCACACCCAACACCCACAGCCACAGCCACACCCGACCCTCACCCACACCCTCAGCCACACCCACACCCACACCCGCACCCACACCCACATACCCCACCCACACCCACACCCTCACCCACACCCTCACCCACACCCACACCCACACCCTATACCTCATCTGCTTCAGGACTATTTCGGGACTATTTCATGACTGGTTAAATATCAAATTATTATCTAAAATGTATAGTGGTTTTGAACGAGAATTCTTTTAGACAAAGACTAGACACATTATGTTGATATGAGACTCGTTAGAAAATGATTGAAAATTAGAAAAAGAAGACCATCAGGGATGCTTGAAACGACTCAATGTAGTGATAGATATTAAACGAGTCTAAATCTATATATGTATATAAGGCGCAAGATTCGATCCGAATATGGATACAATTTGTCAATTATCTGCTTGGGTGTGGGTATGGAGGTGGGTGTGGGTGTGGGTGTGGGGTGCAGGTGTGTGGGCATGGCTGTGGCTGTGGATGTGAATGTAAGTGTGGGTATGGCTGTGAAACTAGAACGACACCCACACTGTGGGTGTCGTTCTAGTTTCACAGCCATAACCACACTCATATTCACATCCTCAACCACAGCCATATCCACAGCTACTGCCACACTCACCCCCACTCCCACCCCCACTCGCACCCACACCCCCACCCACCCACACCCATACCTACACCCACCCGCACCCGCACACCCACCCACACTCACACCCACACCCACACCCACATCCTAAATTAACTTACGAAACTATCGAAGATTTGGTGAGAGATGTACGAAATCATAAAGTAATTTTCGCAACTACAGAAGGTTTGGTACATAATTTACGAAACCATAAAGTAGCTTACGAAACTACTAGGGATTTGGTGTTGAATGTACGGAACTATTAGAGGCTTGGGACAAGATGTACGAAACCACAAACTAACTTCTGACATCATCCAAGGTTCAGTACATGTTGTACGAAGCCATTAATAAATTTACGAAACTATCGAAGGTTTAGTGAAATTTATGCCAATTCACTAACCAATTTTCAAAACTATCAGAGGTTTGGTGCATCATATACGAAATCATAAAGTAATTTACGAAACTATCAGAGGTTTAGTGTATGGTGTGCGAAACCACAAATCAATTTACGGAACTTTCATAAGGTTTCGCTTGTACATTCCAAAGTCTCATTAAATCTCCTGAACTTAAAAAGGTTTTGTATGGCGATTACGAAACGACTTTCAATCTACTGAACTTCAAATGATTGGGTGCAAAAATGGGAAACTTTTGAGGTTCAGTAAAACATCTGTTTTTTTTAGAGTGTACATGATTGCTTCGTATGTGAACCTTGGAAGAAATCTATTGTTTTAAATTTTTATATCTATGTAAAGGAAAAAGTCTCTTTTCATTCTGTTGTACAATGTGAATGATGACTAAAGGACTGCTTAGATTCACACTTCCTCAGAAAAGACTCATAAAAGTAGAACTCAAAGAGTTGTTACGTCTTTTCAATTATTGATTTTAAGGCGACCTCCTATGGATCCTTGAACAGCAATCAAATGTTGAAGTAAATATGAATTTGATAAACAGTTAATCGATTGGTATAGCGTGATCTACGAATTCATATATTATAAGTTTGAATATGAGAGTGTAGGTGTTGTCTACTTTTATGCTTCACTCACATCTACCGACACTCAACCCTGATAGTGCTAAAAGTCAGTATTGGTGAACTTTCCAAAAGAAGAGTATTAGAACTTGAGATTTTGAGGTTTGTGGTTTTAGACATGGATGCGTTGAATGAGCAGAAAAAATTTTAAAAAAAGGTTTTTACGAGTGTCTCATGTATTGGAGTGATAAGTCATGGACTCGTGGAAGCTCCCTTAAAACCTCGTATGAGTTTCGTCATATTTAAACCCTCGTATCTTATTGCAGACATAAGAAGAGCCTATATCGACTCGTTCCGTACTCGAAGAAACGAAAAATTCCTGGAAGAAGCATGGCTATCTAGATTCAGTTAAATAGTAGCTTTTCTTTAATACAATTTATTGCAAAAACAGACATTTCATCGTGATTGTATATGACTCACATTGAACAAATGATCAATATATTCGTCAATACAGTTTGTCTACTAATCTTCATAGTATTGGGTGAACAAGGTTGCTACATCAACACAAGGCGTGTAACGTTTCAGCTAGATATTTTGGACATGTCTGTGCAGTTTTTACTCTTATGAAAAGATCATCATGTACAATCTAAGAAGAATAAATTTTGAGGCTAGTAAGAATGTGAACCACCAAAAAAAATACTGTTTGTATATTGTACTGATGATTTTTTTCTGAATAAAACGATCAGTAATCGAATCAACACTAGGTCTTAGTGATAATCATTTGTGTTTCGACTAAAGAGAATATGTTTTTCATAAAATTTATTGGCTAGTTCACGATATATTGGATCAGTCTCATACAACTAGTTCAGCTTCAATAAGCCGAACACAATGACCAAGTCCATCTTCATCCCTGATTGATTCACTAATTGTTTTAGCATTCATTTGATACATTGAATAATTTCTTAACAAATCACTGATTGCATTAGTCAAGTTCTTCACATTGGTTTGCCGTATAGGAATAGGTCTCGGTCCCAATTTATTGACAAATATTCGATCACCATTAAATGGTTGGTCAGCTCCAAAAGGTAATACTAGTGTGGGTAAACCATATCGTAGACTTGTATGCGTAGTTCCAGCACCTCCATGATGAATTGCTGCTGACATATTCGGAAACAACCAACTATGTGGAATAATTTCTTTTAGATAGACTATATTTTCGTCATTGTTTAACTTATCACTGTTCGCTTGTTGTAAGCCTACTAGTGATATAATTGCTTTACAATTGTTATTTCGAATAGCTAGTTGAATGTTTTTTAAAAATTCCAATTGATCATCTATTCCAAACATGATATTCATCATTGAACCAAGACCAACGTAAATGATTTTTTCGCCTTTCCATTTGTCCAAAAACATCAGAATATCAGGTGATGATTGAAAACTATAGTTATCTTCTTCAAGAATCGGACCCACCATATGATCGTTTTCTGACCAGTCAAATGGACGTGGAAGTAAGTGTTTTGAATAGATGGTTGCAGTTATCATTGGCTTGTGAAATATTGATCGAATCATTTGATCATATTTCAATTTAATTGGTGCTAGGCCAATGTTGGCACGAAGTTGATTAATTTTATCATTATACATGCTCGATGCACCATATTCAAGCAATTTCCATTTCAACGAATTTATCCAATTGAACATACTTTCACTTTTACCACTAAGAGCAGGGGGCGTAAATTCCACTGTACGTATACAAGGAAAAGTATAGATTCCGATTGCTTTTATATTCGGATATTTCTCAATACAACTTAATCCAATCAATACACATGAACATGGAAAAACAATTAAATCAGCATCTTTCACACCAGCTAAAATCCCATTGAACCATTCTTCCATTACCGGCAACAAGACACGCTTAGCTAAACCAACTTTAAAAATGCTTGAACTTCGTTGTAGTTCAATGCCATCGGGTGTTGTTGATAAACTTATTTCCATGTCACCACCAATTTCAACCGTATCAATACCTGTCGAATAAGATGTTGTTTTCATACACTATTATCAATCAGTGATGGAACACTTAGTGAGAAAAGTAATATAGCCTACTCGAGCATTAGCAAAAATCTTCATCGAGTCGATGAAGAAGTTGATCAATCCTCGCTATGATCTATTTACGGATATATTTTTATGAATGTTATCATAGGCCATAGAAGGCGTAATATACTCATTGATAAATATCGAACAGAAGTTCAAAACAAGCCGTTGGACTTCTCTATCTGTTACAGTTTTCATTGTTTTCAGGAAAAAAAATATTTCTGAGCAGTAAAAATACTTTAAAAATCACAGTGAAATGCTCTGAATTGTGTGACATAAAATATGAGCATTTATCGTCGTCTATGATCAAGACATGGTGCTATTCTCATTCAAATATCATTCAAACGATGGCATATTAAAACAAATACACAGGTCATGGCAATCCTGGCTCAATAAAACTAGGCCTGTTTGGATCTATGATGTCGAGCGCATTTGATTTCTTCTACGTACAGTTCTAGATTAAATTTTGCATAATGTAGCCCTTTTGGAGATTCTTGTTAGTTAAAAATTAGTAAGCTGCAGATAGTTCAAAGTGTTTCTCAGAAACGAAACTTGAAGTATTTTCTCATTGACCTTCACATATCCTTTCCTAGAAGAAAAGAAATGTAACAACGTTGTCTTCCATCTTTCAATAGTTTGTTTCAATCTAGCATTGAATAATAGAAAGATAAAATCTTCTGAAAATAAAAAATCAATAAAATGCGAAGGCTAATAATTTGACGTACTTAAAATGTCTTGATCACTAGTTTTTACCTAACTACACTGAATATCATCTTATGTTTCCATTACAATCGAAGTAATTACTTCCACTGAGAGACAAACGCTATCATTTCAAGAAAAACAAAAAAAACAGATAAACATAAGAAAAATTTCACTCTTTGAAACTACCCGTAATTTTTGACACAGTCAAACCAAGTACATGATGTCAAGAAAAGTTAGGTCAATGCCGATATAAATCAATGTTTACCTGCAGCTTTGGCTTTCTCTTGAAAGCGTTTGTGTACACCAAGCCATACGATATGTCCCTTCTTTTTAAGCTGTTGTGCAAGAATAAGAAAGGGTTTAACATCGCCTAGGGATCCAATAGCTGGAATAAAAATTCTTTTTTCACTTATACTCTTGGTATGGACATCATCTTGATCAATATCCACACTTTCCATTCGAGTTGGTATTTCGACAGACATTGAAACAGTATGTACGATTCTAAAATGGCAAAAATACCAATAAGAAGTTTCCTGTATTTGCGCTCATGTCTAAAATATATCGAGATCACTCCTAGATAATGTACATGACACATGAGTCGTCATAATAGAAGAGACGACCATCAAGGTTCCAGGCAAATAACAAAAAAAAGCCAAAGCACATTATCAACTAGCAAAGGAAGATAAAGGTCAACATGCGTCGTTTTGTCAACTACCAATAATACTATTTGAACAAGAAGTGCTGCAGAAATAATGACACAAATAAAAAAAATCATCTTAGCTAGGAACGCAGTACGTATAACAATGGGTCAAACGAAAAAATGCCCTCCATGGACATTAAAGTATGTTATAATGCTGACAAAGTTTCCAATTGAGAATGCATTTTAACGACACTTTTGTGCTGAAATTCTAAATAAGACAAATGGAAGATCTAATTGAACTACAGCCGAAATTTTATCTTCTCTTTGTCTATTTTTCTTTCAATAACTAAATATGTTAAATATAATTGCAGAGAAAACCTTCGTCTTCATTATATTTCAACTACGAAATGTTTAGCTGAAATGTTGAATGGATTCGATATCAAGTTTTGTTAATCGATATGTACTATAATTTCGTTACAATAAATAATCATATTGTTAATAACCATTTTTCTTAACACAAATTTAAATGTTTGACTCAGATATCATTAATCATTTTTACGTGAAAAAGCTTACTCATGTGATCAATAACGCTTCGATAACGCCGCTACGCATTCAAATAGTATACGATAGCAGCGATATTTGTTTGCATAATACGAAGTAGGTCTAATTGTCTGAAGATTGAAGGAAGGAATTTTTTAAAGTCTACTTCTATTTTTGCTTACAACTGCATATGCCAGTGCCCGGTTAGTAGTTTCAACCGTCTGAAAGTATGCGTTTAGTAAATTGTGAAATGATTCTTTGAAATCTCGCCTCGATTTTTGTTATTTTTCGGACATACAGCATGTTCGTTCGATCGATTCTACCATGGAAAGATCTGGAAAATGCGAAAACAACTATTTTTTTGAAAATGTATTAAACGTACCGGCTTTGTATCCTAATCGATATATGCATCGACAAGCAAAATCTATAATATACAGGGACAGTAATTGACAAAATGTTTTATTGAACATACTTGCTAGTTCAATCGATAACAATTATGCATTGTTGAAAAGATCTCTAAAAACAGTGAAGTTAGAAAAGCTTATCAGAACGAACTTATTACTTCAATTGATCAATCTATATCGATGAAAATCTCTAAAAAATAACTAACAAACAGTTAAAAGTAAACATTGGAGGTGACTTCATACAAAGTAAGCGTTGTTTCTTCGATGCATTTGCAACTGCATTCTCTTCGATATTTCTCTGTAGAAATCATACTACCTCTATGAGTACTAAAGCAGCCAATAATGTATTCCCGTCTCGTCATGCTGTCTTCATATCTTGTAAGTTATCATCGTCGTTATTATATTATCTCTGTATTGATTGTGTTGTCCATTTGAACCTCTCTTACTCACAAATAGTAATTTTCATCATAGCGTCGTTGTTGCACATCGTGTTCTGTTTTCTTTCTCCATCCAGCGTGCTTCAACAATATATTGTGTGGAATGAAGAAGAAAGAAGACAGCGTATAACGATGATAGTGTTGACCGAAGATAAGGAAGGAACATACGAAAAGATAATAAGCAAAACTACAATAGACGAGAGAACGGTATATCATCGTCTTGATAGCCCAACAATGTTGATGGATCGATGTAAAGCTACCACAACACTAGGTACTAATAATCGACTGAAATCGAAACAGAAGACCGAAGCGATACTAATGCTTTAATTGTTTTCCTACACCGCGCAACATCTATAAATGACCAATCCAAGCATTAGAATCACTTCGATCTTCTGCTTCGGCTTCGGTTTCGATCTTGGCCGCTTATCGTTACTTCCAACATGATCTATCAGGACAATCATGGTAGTGATTTCGTTGGATGCTGCTCGTAAACCAATCAACTACGTTGATAGGAGCTGCAGACAAGCAGACGTATTCACTTATTTAGAGAGTAATAAATCCAACATCAATAAATGTTGACTAAGACAAGATATGCTACCAACTCAGTATTTCTGACGACGAATGATAGCGGTGTCATATCAACCCTAAAAATGCCATTAATCCTTTGAACAGAAATCCAACCATGTGAAAAACCATAGTGGCTATGCATTCGTTTGTCGGGGCATGATTTACAGAACAATCGATGGATGTGGGTTTGGGAGTGTGGATGTGGGTATGTATGTGACTGGGTGTGGGCGTCCACTCAATGATACTCTCACACCCGCACCCACACATCCACACACATCCGCAACTTGTATTCCTCGCAAAACTGGATTCAGATTTACTAATAAAAATCGATTTAATTTTGAAAAAAATGTATGATTTTTAGAATGAGCGGCAGTTTTTGATTAAAGAGAGAACTTTCAAATAGGTCCATTGTTCAACGCTCCTTTGTTCGTAGTGTAAAAGCGATGTTGTTTTTCTGAGAGAATCGCTTTCTGTCCCTTGGGTTTTATAGATGGGGAGATCATTGAATAGAAGCACAATCTATTTCGGCATGTATATCCTAGCACTATACTATGATTGAGAAACATATTTTCGCATTGGAGTGAGTAAATATTATTCTTCTACTTGTTGCGGAAGAAAACGAATGTAACGATAAAACGTGTTTTTTTCTTGAGTAAATAAAGATTTTTTTTTTTCATTCGTTCGTTTATTCCTTTACTTTCACTTTTTCAAGTAATCGTTTAGCGCTACCTTAAAAAAAATACGTTTGTTTAACTGGACAAAATATTTCTGATCAAGTAAAAAATGTCACAGAAAGTACAAGCATCTCACTGCGAAGATTACTGGCAAGAGGAAGAAGTTGTTCTTGAAAAAGTGAGTTTCTAATATAGCAAATTAACTTTCACTATTATGTCTCCTTATTCTAATAGACAAATGTCGACGAACTTACTTCTCTTGGGTTTACGATTGCAGGAGGGATCGATTCACCTATCGCTCGCAATTTTCCATATATTGTAGTTGTTCGTATAATTGAAAATGGTTTGGCAGAGAGGGATCAACGTTTGAGGTAAGTGAATGTGTGAATATCAAAGAACTGTCATCAGTTTCCTCTCTTAGATTGTACGATACAATCTTGAGTGTAAATGATATTGATTTTTCAAAAATTAAGCATCAGACAGCTGTTCAGGTATTGAAAACATCGCAAAAGAAAGTTCGATTAGTATGTACGGCTGTAACTCTTTCTACGAAGTTTAATTATCTCGATCCCTGATTTTTACTTAACATATAGCTAATTCGTCGTCTCAAATCTCATTTCATACAGGTGATTGAATTGGAACATCAAAATGGAAAACTAGGAATTTTAATAGCAGATGGCCTGGGAAGTGATTATTTCAAAGGGTCTGCGCATCACTAAATATTCACTTTATTGCAACTTTCTATTGATTTCCGTCTGTTTTCTTTCAGAGATTCCGGTGTGTTTATAACTGCTATTCTTGATCAAACGAACAAACAATTCAGTATAGGTGATCGATTATTAGAAATTTCGTCGGCAGTAATTTTTTAATCAGTCATTTACTCTTCTTATAAGTTGTCTCGAAATATCTTGTAGAAAAATACTTACGATCTACGATTTGTTACACATAACGAAGCTAAAAGACGTATTGGTTTAGCCAAGGGGGTAAGTGCAGACGCCTAGCACCCAGCACCTGCTCAGCACCTACAGCACCTAACAGCACCTAACAGCACCTACCAGCACCTACCAGTACCTACCAGCACCTACCAGTACCTACCAGTACCTACCAGTACCTACCGGCACCTACCAGCACCTACCAGCACCTACAGCACCTACAGCACCTGCCAGCACCTACAGCACCTGTTCAGCACCTATACTGCATTTCACTATGAGCACCTACGGCACCTTCAGCACCTGCAAACATTGTTTCATTATCTTAAGTATTTAAGACAATAGAATAGTTGTTGAAGATGCTGAAAGTGCCGTAGGTACCGTAGATGCTCACTGTGGAATGCGGTATACGTGCTGAGCAGATGCTGGGTGCTGGGTGCTAGGTGCTGGGTGCTGGGTGCTGGGTGCCTGCACTTTCCCCCTTGGGTTTAGCGTGTTCAGACAGTCAAAAAGTGAAATTAACTGTCGGTAGGGATGCGAAAAAGCCTCCTTCAAACAAGGTAAAAAAAATCTGAGAGAATTATCAATTTTCATTCTCCTCACAGATATCGTAGGTTTACTGAAGAGAATTCAGACATATTAAACATATGAGTAGAAATTCTTTATATACGAAAATTGTCGCTTAAATGTTCTATGCAATATCATTTGAGCCATACAAACAAATAAAAATCGTTGTTATTCGAATTGCTCAACTATTCTCTTGTCGGAAGTTATTCGTTGATAGTCTCGAAGTTTATCAAGTTTCGAAAGAGATAGGATGGATTACAATGACTCTTTTGTATTTCTCTGTTCTGTATAGACACTTCAAGGAAGAACTACGTCTGTAACGAATACAAGACAATTGAAGAGACAACCGTCCATCATGTTGTATTCATTACCTGCATTCGTACAACAGAGAAATGATGAAATAGAAGCAGAATGTAAATTCATTGACATTCTACATTATTGTCAAATGGTAAGTGTGGTATTTCTAGGAAAATGTAATTATCAAAACATCTCTAGAATGGTATACATTTTGTCGACGACCAATTCATTCCTTCATTTCGTTCGGTGGGTGACGAGAACCTACAGGTCTCACAGTGGCTTCGTATAGGTGATATTGTTTCTATGGAAACAAATCAAAATGAAACATGGTCAGTCATGCTTAATCCACAGCCAAATGATATCCAACAAGGTTATCTTGGAAATTGTTGGCTCATGGCTGCTTTGGCGCTTGTTACTCAACGTCCTCGTATGCTATCACATATTCTCCTAACATCAACAGTGAATGATCAAGGTACAGTAAAACCTCTCATAGTGGACACCTCTCTATAGTGGACGCCTCCGTATAGTGGACACTTCGTAGTCCGACGGAGCGATTTTTGCTGGAATTGAACCTCTACATAGTGGACACCTCCCTAAAGTGGACACCTCTCTATAATGGACACTTTTTCACGGTCCCTCTCGCATAAAATACCTCTCTATAGTGGACAGTCCGTTCTCAATTGGACAAAAAATATCGTGATGACTGCCATCAAGCATACGAGATAGTGATTTCTCTGAATGAATCAGACGGACTAATCATAGAAAAAAAAATGATATGTTCGCTATGTTGAATTACCAAGAGAGATATAAGGGCATTGTTGCCGTCATGTCATTTTGTTATCATCACAAGAGAAAGAGAACATTGTGTCGAAGCGACAAGAGTGAACATAGGAAAATGAAACTGCGCTGATACAAGACAAAACAAAATGGTCGTAATTGTTCAATACGAAAACTAGTGGACAAATACGATATGTTAGAAGTTGTGTCGTTATCAATTCCCTCTGCAGAAAATTCTTTGATTGTGTTACAAGTTGAAGAGAGTTATTAAACGAATGCATTGACGAAAGTGAACAAATAGGACTCAGCGAGAAATTATTTAAATTATTGTCAATTTTTTCTATTGCAATACTTGAAAGAAAATTAAAATAGAAGTAATAATTTGCTCTTGACAATCATGTTATTCACTAATTTTTCAGATACCTAGAGATATGCTAGTTTCTTCGAAGAACTTTTCCTATTCGAAGACACATGACCTCTCTATAGTGGACACCTCCATATAGTGGACAGTTTCGAAAAGTCCGATGGGTGTCCACTATAGAGAGGTTTTACTGTATCTACTTAGTACGCATTTGTCATAATGGCTTATGGAAAATTGTTTTACTTGACGATTGGTTTCCATGTACAGAAAGAAGACATCTCACTTTTAGTCAGGTGTGACAACATGCCTTGGAATGACACAATCAATGAGTATTTTCTTTTTAGACTAGACGACGTCAATTGTTTGTTCCCTTGATTGAGAAAGCATGCGCCAAACTAAACGGATCATACAGCAAATTAGCGGGCGGCTTCATAACAGAAGGATTACAGCTACTCACTGGAGCATCGTCTGATCAGATTTTTCTAAATATAACAAACGGCGATGATAATGATAATCAAGATATTCTATGGGCAAAACTCGTTTCGGCATGTGAAGCTAAGTCAGTCTCAATACTACTTGTCTCATATCTCATTATCACATTCGTGAAAAAAAACTAATAGTTTCAAGCCCGATACGCAGTTTTAAATCACCTTCTTTCTCTGTCTCTGAAACTCGACATTTTCAATTTCGGTTTTCCTATCTCTAGTGCATTCTCAAAGAGTGTTGTGTCAAATGCCATATATGACTCTTCAACCGTTTGAGAAAATCTTGTGTATAGAATGATTCTTTCGCATTTTAAAGATGCTTTCATGATCAATCATGGACTTCTTAAATCAATGATTCTGGTCTACTTTTGAACGATTTCGTTAGAGAAATAAAATACCAATACGCATATAGAGAACAACGTGTTTCACAGTATCATGAGGTTCTTCTAGAATACACGTAGTAGCTTGGAGAAACGAGGACAGAAACTGAGACAATTTTCACCCGTTGGGACCTTATTATCTTACAAAAAGTATTATGTAAATCCGAGATGAGCACGGCCATTCCTGTAGTATCCGACATCTATATTCCTTTTAATTTCAGCTTTAGTAGACAAACATGACGTGTGCTAATAATCTCTGGGAAAACTCAGAGTAAGCAGCTTTTGCACTGAAATCTTTGGAAATGTGACTTCCGATTAAAAGAACTCTTCTTAAACTAGCCAAACAGTTGTTTTAGATCCTCAATATTCATCGGAACTTACAAAAATTCTGCTTTCTTTCTTCAATTGATTTAGTTTGTTGATCGGTGTGTCGACAGGTCGTTCTGATATACCTGAAGCTGACTATGTTCAAGTTCATATCCACGCCAATCATGTTTACTCTATTCAACAAGCTCATGCCATATCGGCGACAGAACGATTTATACTCTTGAGAGATCCTCATGCTCGATCGGCATACGTGGATGATTGGGTGTTCGGTGAGACTCTTAGACAACTTCAGAATGTGAATAAAGCGGATGTATCGAATGGTTCCTTCTGGATATCATGGATGGCTTTTCTGCGATATTTTACCTCATTGACTATTTGTTCTTATCGTGATGATCTACTCGATGTACGACTGGAAGGGCAATTCACACAACACACCGCGCAACCAGTTCAAGCATATTACTTTCATTTAGACAGGTGAGAACTTTTCAGCATATCTAAGTACACAACAACATCTTTTCTCTAACTCGTTTTGATCGAAAAAATAAAAAAAAAAATAAACATTGCCTTACTTTGTGCTATTCAATAACAAACTAATGAGTGTTAGTTGGTATTCGAAATTCTTATCTCCCTAGTTTTGTAGATGCAGTGCTACTTTAGATATAGTCTTGCTAGACTATATAATTTTTGTTCTGTTTTATTTTCTTTTATAAAGAAGTGAAAACATCTAGGATTATTATGGCAGTTTTTTTCGCATGTCAAAGCAACATTCCTATTGGATACAGAAAAAAATTTACACCTATTGAAACGCAAGAAGTTCTTATTATTGAATGTTGTACACAGGTCTTCGACGATCAGGGTGAGTCTTTTTCATCAACGATCTGATCGAACACGTGTCTACTCGAACCATACGCAATCGTTTGTGCTGTGCAATGTAGTCGAGAAGTATGGAGTAGGTGATCAACAAGCCATATTACGTTGTTGTCGTACAGCATGCACAGAGTGGACAGGTATCTTACCAGCAGGTGCTTATGTGCTTATCCCATTCTCTGCCTCTTATTGGCATCACCAGCTCAGAAGAGAGGATGAAATTAAATTCACATTGGTTATTCATTCGTCTACTTCATTGGACGTGGTCATCGTCGAGGAGTCGGGCACATTGTTGGCTGATTCCCTCATCGCGGCTATTATGAAAAGTTGTTCTAAACCAGAAAAAGTATGATCAAACGCTTAGAAATAGTTAGGTCTTGTCTAAAATGCTTCCAATTTTGCATACTATACTTCTTGACTTTCTTTTCTTACTTTTCAAGCATACCAATTGTACTTTTTACAAACCGAAACATGTGAGTGACATAACAGCATTTGTTGCCGAGAATACTTCAACTGATCGAATGCTCAATGTTTATATAGAAATATCAGCTTCATCTAGTATTCACACATCGCGTAATTCCTTAACCATACTGGATTCTATTCCACCCAATAGCCGCCAAATTCTGTTTCTTATGGAAGAAACTGCAGAAAATAAGACAACAGCTAACATCCACTATTCATATATTTATTCGCACCAACACGATTCGACGGAACGACGAACATTACTACCGATGATATCAAGAGCTGACGATGTACATGCATCGCGACCCATTCTCTTATGATGCATTGCAGATTTTTGTTGATGTATTTACACGTCTTCGTCGGGTAATAAAATGATATTATCATTTCACTTGATGAAAACAGTAAACTCATGCAACACATATGATAGTTCGAGACATTTGACCCATACAAATCTACTTTTATTTAAAATGTTTGTTAAACTTCTAACTGTACTTTTTAAAGAAAATTAATGAATAACAAAGTTCATGGAAGGAAAGAATGAAAGTTGTATTAGATTGAAAAATTCATTAAATACATATGAAAAATTTTAAAAACCATTTTTGTTTTTGAAAAAATTCTCTTCATTGTCAAATAATTTCTACATCAATTATTTGGAATTAGATTGAAAGTAATTTCATACATATTGATCAATCAGAGCTTTTATGATATATGTTTAACTAACTATAAATAAAACATATATTTTTTATATTGATTTCTATCACAATGATATTTTTTTTTATTTTAGTTAAAAATTTTTTTTTGCTTCTCTTAATATTGATTAAAATTCTTTTTAGATATTCTGAAATATTTTTTGTTTTACTATTAAATAATTTGATTTCGATACGAAATATAACAAAATTTTTAGAAGAAAAATAGCCAAATCGAGCTGATTTCGTCTTTAAATAGCTCAGTTCACTACATCCATCTTCGGTTCAGACATTATTACTAGGAGAAAGAATATATAGACATATATGTTTTTCAGAATCGTCTTACGTCTTGTTATTGATTAGTGATCAATAAACATTTTGTTGAAAGTTTTTGAATCATTTCTGAAAGATTTTATTGAAAATCTTAATATAAAACTCATATCGAACTCTATTTTAGCATTATTTCATTCTGTATCCCTTGCGCAATACTTCATTTTATCAACTAATGTAAGTTTGATTGAAACAATACATTGGCACTCTATATGGGATTAAGTTTTTTAAGTTTTTTTCATTTAACGTTCACATATATTTATATTTGAAATTCATCCAGAAAATAACACACATTAACATAATAAAGATCAATATGTGTAATGATGTTATTTCTTATCTTTGACCTTGAAGATGATATTGTTAGTAATAGTTTTTGCGTATGAAAAGAACATAGGATGTGAGTGTCAGAAGAGAGAAAGACATATTTACACCCAACATCTCAGGAGTGACTCCATCAATTCAGATGATATGTATGAACCCAGGTGATATGTGTAGCCTCACAGGTGAGGCATGTACCTTATTAACAAAGTGCACTTTTTCTTTCGTATTATCCGAAATTTACATGGGGTGTCTTGAAATTCGAGTTACGATTAATAAGAAAGAAAAAATTTTTCTTTTCCTTAACTTACCGGGATAACCTACTTATATCAATTATAAATTATTGAGAGAAAAACTTTCTTTTCCTGTTTTCGTAGACTAACAAGAAATTGTCATTTCGATTTTTCATTTATTTTTGAATTTATGCACGGCACTAAATTCTTCATTTATATTCAAACTCAAATTAGGAAAATTATGCGAAATCGGTGATGAGGGGTTGACGTTGTTTTTGAACGATAGCTTTTAATCCTTGGGAATACTGTTGATCGTTTTCTCGCATTTTTTTGACTGAGACTTTTCCTCGTATGTCGATAATTTTTTGTTTGACATTGTGTAAAACATTAAATTCATGTATAAATCTTATCAAATGACACTCCATAAGTTTTCTATAGGCCATATGTCATCCATCTTCATAGCTTGATAGTCACTATCAATATGTTCAGATTTATTTTCATCTACAAATTTTGCAACAGTATGTCTATGGTGAATAGGAGATGCACCATATTTTTTAAAATGTAGTCCCCATTTAGAACCAATTCACACGGAAAACATATTTCAAAAAAATCGCGGTTCACCACGATTTCGCACATCTTAAAGACATAAACAAAAGAATCTCTCTTAACTTGTTATCATGAATGTGAATGTAATTCTGATTCTATTTCATATTGATCGAATGATTCGTGACATATTGATATTTTAGATGTGTGAATACCTCATGTTTTATGAATGATATTTTCTAGATAAACAAGATAAGATTCTCAAGGACTGATCCTATTCGAACAACATCAAACAATAAATTACAGTAAAACTTAGTTCTGAATCTTTCATAGTGGATTGTTTCAGAAATAATGAAAATCGGAAATAGTTGTTGAACATTTCATTGCAGTTGTGCAAGATATCTCCCTTATAGAAATTCATGAAGTGTTATTAAAATCCGAATAGATAAATATCAATTATTTAGATATTGATTTAATAGCTTTGTTTAAATAGTACTAAATATAGAATTCAAAGAAATTCTTTTATGCTCATCTATCGTAATGATTATATTATTGTTAGCATATGATATTTACTTATCGATCAATAAAAAAGTCTATATTTCATCATTATAAAACTATTGTACACTAAAGAAATATTTACATGAACGGGGATGTCTTATTTATTCCCATCAAATTCTTATAGACCGAAATATTCATTGAAAATTATTGTCATATAACTAAATAAATATTTTATCAGAAGATTTTGATTTTATTCATTGATTCTGATCTTCAACATTAATTCAAACATGTTATGTTAATTTATGAATAGAACGCTTTTTCAGGAAAAAACACGTTCCAAATTAGACCTAGCTCGGTTTCAACAATTCGATGATTCAACTAATTTTTAGTCAAACACCAAGTGTTGCATATAAATTAATTCAAGAATATGAAATAGATAAACCAACATGTCAATAAGCAGTTCATGCAGGTGGACTGAAGATTATTCGAAATGTAGAAGGTTGCTGTCGAATATTTTTCGTCGTTGAAAACATTCAACTACTAGATCTAATAATAAAAATATAATTTTTTCATGAGATTTTAATGTATATAACTATATTATTGGTCTCAAATGCATTTTATTAGTATTAGATCCAGACATTTCGATCTTCAGCTATATTCATCATATTAATGTTGTTTTCTTTTCAAATCAATAATGAAAATGTTTTTATTGTATAAACTCCAAATAATTGTTTTTCGATGGTTAATTTTGTTTTAGATAACAACTAAATGGTTCTAATAGATGTAAAATTCAAATCCTTCACTATAAACAACTCAGCTGGTTTGGTTATAGTTCGATGATTTCTTATTTAAGGGTAAACACAATATCTTTTTATCAACCGATATAAATTCTATTTCAAGCTTTTCTTCAATAGAAAAGATCATAGAACCAAATTTGTCTATCCATTAAACAGGAGTATGAGTATACATCAGTTCTTTTACTTCGATGAACAATGCGACTAACAGCCTATCAAAGTACACAAAGCGTGAGAAAAAAAATATTCTCCACATGAACTTGTGGCACTAAGAATGCTCTACAGATCTAGAACATATCATCTATAGTCCAACACAAATAGTATACGAAAATTTTCGTCGGAAATTATACACATTCCGTTTTAGCTGAGTACGAAATTGTTTTTGTTATTACTTTCTCTAAGATCGAAATCATCAACAAAGTCAGTTATTCAAACTCTATTCGCTTACATTGATTTTTATGTACCTTCGAGAAAACTTGGGGTATCTTTTCAGATAAACATATCGTGTGGAGACACGGCATTTCATTTCGAATTAATATCATGATAAATGCACAGATTAAGAATAACCTGAAAATTTAATTAAAAAATTGAACAACAATATTCCAATGTTGTGGTATGATTATAGGACAAAATCAAATTCTTTTATCTTCGAATGAGAGGAATTAAACTACATAAACAATATAGGTCGACTTGTGTTAAAACTGCACACAATACTAACGATTCAAGAAAATTTACGTCAAAATCATACACACATCCGTCACCGTTGTGAAAAAAACATTTTCACGTGGATAGAAAAAAAATACAGAACAATAAGTAATATAGAATTTTCTTTCCACCATCTTTTGTATTTCGTCGGTGTTGTGCAATTATATAATATAAAAATGGAAGAGCAACATGTGAGTTCACGATAGAATAAAAAGAAAATTTACTATAGAACGTTATCAAATAACAACAAATTCATTCACATACCATTGTCAGAAAAATCAACAGAAGATAACGCACACTATATTTATTTCGAATTTCATACATGAATCGGAATCATTTTCTCGGAAATATCGATCTTAGTATTGTTCATTCATTACTTACAAATTATTCTGTGCCAACAAAAATACCTAATTGTATCAAATTAAACAAAATAAAACAACAAGATGACTTGGTTTTAATCGAATTGGGAAGTTTATTGACTACAAAGGAATGTGATGAAATTCTCATGAATATTGATGAAGAAAAATTCCAAAAGATGAACAAAAACTATGATACACACCAGCGAAATAATCGGCGATTAATAGTTATTGATGATCTCGATTTGCTCGTACACTTTGGCGACGTTTAAAATTTAGTCATCGAATAACTAAATTAGTTTCAAATATAAAGCCATTAGGTTTCAATGTTCAAGGAACATGGCAAATGAGTGGTGTTAATCGAGCAATGAGATTACACAAATATCATGATAAAGAATATTTTACGGTACACAAAGATGCACAATATGCACCTAGTGGTGATGAACGATCATTACTAAGTTTAATTATTTATTTGAATGATGACTTTGAAGAAGGTGAAACAAAATTTTATTTTTCAAAACAATCGCCCAAATCTTCTGTCAAGGATTAACAATTAAGGAAGAAATCGAAGCTTATGGTGGTCTAGATCATGGTTATGAATGCATTACAATAAAACCAAAAAAGGGTCATGCTATTCTATTTACACATAATCTTTTACATGAAGCTGTAGTACCGGAAACAAATAATTCTAATGATATCAAAGAACGTATCGTACTACGAACTGATATACTTGTTCAACGAAAAGAAAAACCATTAGGATTTGCAGTAAGTCAGGAAGAAAGGGATGATTATTATGCATATTTAAATTTTTTTCGTGAAGCACAACAAAATGAATTGAAAATATGTAAAGGTTTGAATAAATCGGTAAATAATATTGATATTGGAGAATTATATGAACGTTCATTATCTATTCGATATTGTTATCCACGTTTACTTGAATTAAAGTCAAGAGAATCAACGATGGATTTAGACGAACAAAAATCATTGATCGAGCAATTACCAACTGAAATGTGGCTTTCCATATTCAAACATTTAGATAAACAAGATATTCAACATTTAATATTTGCTTTTCCTGATTTTCAGTTGCTGAAAGTTGTTTGGGAAGCTCAAGAATTAAAAAATTTTGAACAAGACACATCTCGGCCGAAATTTATTCCAACAATCGATACTCAGTATGGTAGTCAAACATTATTTCGATTCACGGATTCGAATTTTTTCAATCAACATATTAATCAATGTTGTCGTGTTGTAGCTGTTTATGCTTTCTTTCTATTAGGACACGGCAAAGACGCGACAACTTATACTGTGCATTATGATCGAAATACACATGAAGTATGTGAAGTGGACATGAAAAAAATTCTGTCAGATGTATTTTATAATCAAAATTGTTATGGTTCTCTCTATCGAGTTGTTCAAAAAGACAAAAAAGAACGACAGCCAATGATCGATTTGGATCATAGTGTTGATCGTACTTACATGACAAATCGACATCAATCACAGTTTATTGAACAAGATCTACTTTCGCGTTTTCATTTTAAGATGAAAATGGTTTATGAATCTAAAGACAAAGAACGAAGTTGGAAGAGATTTGGGTATGAATCAGATCGTAAACTCGATATTCTTTACCTCCAACGGAAACATGCTTTATGTGATCAAAGCGCACTTGTTGGTCCATATGAAGCTCCGAGTCGTTATGAGAAACATTTTTATACGTCAGATGCGACAATATACTCAAGAAATGATACAATCGGTTATCATGAACAATTATTGGGGCAGATCGAGCCAAACTCCGGTGTAAGTCTATGTCGAATGCTTGCTGCGAAAGATCATGTCACGAAAGAATTTCTTTGTGATTGTTCACTATTTACTACAGATATAAATGAAGTTAAGGATTTAATCGTTTGTTATAATCAGCTTATATTTGATTTCGATACGCATCAATTGGCTGTTGAACATTTATATGATAAAATGCCACATGATCTTGATGTAAGGACACCCTCTTGGTACTACGGGTCTCTGTTGTACCGTTGTGTTCGAAAATTACAAGATTCAATGCCACAAGCAAATCCTATTTCATTCTGTCGGGTTAATATTGAAAAGTTGGCAGAAGAAATAAAAGGTTTCAATCATGCATCGTGTCAATGCTCATATCCAGCAATAAAAGACAATCAATTTTCATTCCTTGACTATACATATTTGTCACATGTTGACTTAGCTATTGTTAAAAATAACGATCATGTATTTGTTTTGGCGGTTTATGGTGGAGTCGCCGCTTTATGATTATTAGAGATGTTTTATTGATTTTTTTTTGAAATTGCGCTTCAGAGACGAGTTCACAAAGCATATTATTTATGTACACGCTTTTCGAGCATTGATATTCAGAGAAACGCATTAATTCAACTTATTTAATTGATGATAATTAATAAATATATACACCCAAGTCTGTTCAAGAGAAAAAGATCAGAAAGTTGAATATAAATTTGCTAATGCGATACTTAAAAATTCATAAAAGACCTTTTGCTTATCAAAGAATATTGAATATTGAATAAATGAGAAACTCGATCATGTGTGTACATTATATTAAATCTACATGTGTTATATGTAAGCTGTGTCGAAGTTATCTTCCATCGTTTCATTTCATATCTATTATCAAGTGATGGGTATGTGTAATAAAACGTATATTAACGGTCACTCTCAGAGCCGTCTACATTAATTAAGCTCTAGCTCTGGCAAGTTTTTCTCTCATGAACCAACTTTCGGCAAAAATTCCGGGTTTTAGTCTCATAAGATATTATTATGATAATAATAAATTGATTTATGATGTACGAAAAATTTCACTTAGAGAGTAATATATTTAATCACATCATGCAGTCTCGAGCTTTAGTTCAGTCCCAATAATTAATCTTTTTTGATTCCTGTGATAGGGATGAGAGTAGGAATTGGCTCCATACTTATCAAGGGATGATGTGGAGTGGAAGGCATCAGCAGCCATTTTATATATAATGTAAAAATTACAGTATTTGATGATGAAATACAAAAAGGTGTAGAATATGACAAAAAGGCTTTGCTATGCGCTGAGATCATTTTCTGTAATAACCAGCTTAAACGTATTTTTGTGAATTTAGTGATATTTTTGTTATGTTAAATAACATCTAATAGTATATATTTGTTAGCTGTACATATGCAAATCGATAACTGTATAATAAATCTTTGAGCACTTATGAATAGAATGTAAAAATGGTCATCCACAACACGGTGAAGCTGTAGCTATGATTCTTTTCTTTCTCCACACTCACACTTCAAGTCCGGCAATATCTCTCGGTAGATTACGTTGGAAGAGAGATTAATTTCTTTGTTGTTCCATTGAGAATATCAACTTTTTGGTGTTGTGTCAGATGTTTCTGCTCTGGAACGTAGAAGAGTGCTCAAGTCGAAGCTAACTAAGTTTGACCCGATGAACCAAAAATGCTAAGAGAGTGGGTATGGGTGTTGGGTGTTACCCATGTCCATGACTGCAAACACATACCCCACATCCATACTCAACAACCATCCACACTGGTACCCCATATCCGTACCCATCCCATATCAATCTAAATCTTTAGAAAATTGTTGACAAAAGAAGAAAATTTGTTTCCAGGGTTTCATCAGCTCAAAATAAAATAAAGTAAAAATTTTAGAAAGAAAATCTTCACATTTATTGCTGTTGAGATTCATGTTGTAAACTAAAGATTAACAAATTTTGATTAAATCTTGAATAAAAACCAGTTAAAATCCTGATGAGTATTTGCAATCGATTTTTTTTGTGAAGATTCTAAAAATTTACACAGATTACATACACTACAAAATAGAAGCTTGTCAAGATCTCAACTAGCAGATCCTTCTACTTGATATCAGATCAAGATTTTAATTGTGGATTGGTCTTGTCTTGTAGAGAAGCGAAAGCGTTTGATTTCAAAAAGTTTGAAACACGTTTGTTATTGAAACTTGAGAGAATTGATGTGTTTAAAAAAGTTTCTTTACTTGTGTTATGATTCTCCTCTGGTCTAAACTACAATTCTCGGCTCGATGCTCGCAGTAGAGTCATCATTTTTTTGCTATTCCTGTGAGAATCCTGGTAGGCTTATGCATTTCCAAATCAAGAGGAAAAACTAATTAAGATCTTGATTAGAATACGCATTTGTCTTGCAGAGATTCTCTATTGTTCGTTCTAGAAAACATCCGAACATATTCTTGAACAGTTCCAATGAAGATTCCAACCAACAGATATCTGTAAGAGTTGAGAGATTTTTACGAAACGTTCTTCGGATTTCTCCATGTAAGAATCTTACTAAGAAAAAAAACATGGAAAAACGCAACGTTTAGACCAATTTGCATGACAATTTTTTTTGACTTTGATCGTGTTCAAAGATAGCCATGAGTATATGTGTCTTTTCACTTGCGAACATAAAATCGAAATTCGAAAACTGTTAAATTGAATTTCATATTCTTTTATTTCAACTACTCCAATAAGAAACAATTTTAAGTGTCAAATTTTCTTTATTTTAAATTTTTTAAAAATTTACTGATAACATTTTTATGAAACTTATATCGGTAGCTATTGTTTTTAAGTAGCTCAATCGATAGAATTTTCTACCTAATGAGTTCCATTATTTCTATTTAATGAGCTGTAATTTTTAGAGCTCGCTAGACATTATTGTTGCTATGAATGTCATGAACTTTTTTTCAATTTGAACACCGCATCGTATTGTCGTAATAATATTGAATCAAGCATCAAGTGGGCACAAAACTAATCTAAGTCCAACAGTATTTATATACAAGAATAAAAAATATAGAAAATAAGAATCCAAAAAAAAAACTACTTTGAAAAGCAATAAATATTGAGTTAACATTATAAATTATGATGAAATTTCTTTGAATCATGGTATTGACGTTAATTAAAGCCCTGTTTAATTCAGCTTCAAATTGATGAATGTTGCTCGGGCATCGTGACCCTCTTTAATTCAGCTTCAACTCGATGCATCTTGCTCGAGCATCATGACCTTCTTTTTTAATTCAGCTTCAACTCGATGAATCTTGCTCGGGCATCATGACTATCATTTTATTAATACCAAAAAACTTAAATCAGCTAGTCATTGCCCATTTAATTTTAAGACTGAGTTTATATTCAAGACCAGTTATTATATGCAAATTATTTTGCTTCATTTAAAACTTGAAATTATTATTTTATAGAAAAAGCATCATATCGTTCTTTATACTGTGTATACCTTTCTAAATATCATCTCTTTCTGAAACTAAAATAATTTTTTTATTAAAATTCTTTTAAACAATTTATAACCTGAAATTTTCTTGAACAAACGATGTGTTTTAATAGATATATGACTTTCACAAGTTATGTGTCTTTTCAAGCGTCCGATCGATATGAATTGTCCACAAATTTTCTAATAATAAATTTTTGAACTGATTTTTCTGTAAAGCACATTTTTCAATGTCTAAACTTACATCTACCCTGCTGCGTATTGTTAGTTTCTTCTAAATCGACATACCAAACTTTGTACCACATTTTATTGCCGAGTGGTATTCGATTGTCATCGAGGTTCGTATACTAATCACAGTTGAATAAATTCAGAAATTCAAAAATATACCAGTGAGTAAAATATTTGACAGTCAAATATCACAGAAATCACACGAAAGTGCTAATCGAATATTATCGATAAAAATAGTTATTTCGATTGATCTTAAACAAAAATTTTTCAAGAGAAATCACGTTGAAGAAAACTAATCATAAATATGTAAAGTAATTAAGTCTGCTAGAAGGGCATAGAAATGAATTAAATGCTTCAAAGTTACTTTTCTGAACAATTCTATTTCTATCAGCACTTGCATTTGACATCTGATAATTTTTTGTTCATAATATTATTGTTTTGATGAAATTGCGACTATAAAATTAAATTATTAATTTTGATGTCTTGTCAGAGTGTAAAAATAGTAGTAATTACATATCTCTGCTGTCAGTGGTGAAGATCGATAAATAACTTAGTCATCTCTTTTGATCTATAAAAGGTAGACAGCAGCTACAGGAAAACACGTCAATAGCTATTTTCTAAATTTATTAAAATATTTTCATTCATCTAATTATTCTATTGCTACACAAGTAGCCTACGTACTGGTCATATTCATTTTTCAAGTCTATCTTCAGTGTTACATTTTCTAAATCAGTTAATTTGACTATCTAAAGAGAATTCAATATCGACAATGTCAAGCACAAATGTAACTATATCTTACATTGGTAAGCTTCAATATATTTCGGCACAATTGACTCTATATATGTCAATTATCATCCTTGTTTTGGGTGTAATCGGTAATCTGCTCAATTGTTTGGTATTTGTACAACGACCACTTCGTTCAAAACCATGTGCCATCTGTTTTCTTGCCGCTAGTATACTAAATTTAATTATCATTTTTTCAGGTATTTTACCACGTGCATTGCAAAGTTTTTTTATGATTCCGGATCAAACAGAGACAGTATCTGTACTATGTAAACTGCGTCTAGTCATTCTTTTTACAATACGTACCATTTCATCATGGCTTATAGCTCTCGCTACTGTAGATCGTTATTTGATTTCAAGTCCAAATGTCAATCGACGTCAAATGAGCAATTTGAAGAATATCTATCTTTCGATTTTAATTATTAGTATCATTTCACTTCTAGTCTGGGTTGAAGCTGGCTATTGTTTCGATGCTAATTTGATTGGCACACCTCAAAAATGTTATGCCAAATCTGATGTATGCCGGATTTTTAACGATCTTGCACAATCACTTATTACACATATCATTCCATCAACAGTCATGCTGATTATTGGTTTATTTACTATTAGAAATGTTCGACAAGTCCGACGAATAGGATCTTTTCCAAATGGTATGAGTACAACTAATGCTGTACGAAATAGAAAAAACGAAAGAAGTTTAACTCTTATGTTATTTGCACAAGTTATTCTTTTGACCCTATCAACTCTACCACAAGCAGGACAAAAATTTTATTTGACTTATACATTTTATTATACAAAATCATCATCTCAACGGGCACTTGAAAGTCTTATTTTTAACTTAGTTCTGCTTCTTACATATTGGCCTTATTGCATGCCATTTTATTTGTATACAATAACTGGTAGCATGTTTCGAAAAACGCTTTTCAAATTATTAAAAAATGGAATAAAAAATTTGAACTCTTATTCTTGAAAAAAAATATGATGAACACTCGAAATACAAATAAAATGAATATTTATTACCCTGTATTCCATTGCTATCATGAATCGAGAAAAATTGTTCATATGAACAGATGATGTAAAGTGCATAGATATTGGCGAGGTGATTTATAAAAATCAAACATACAGAAGAGAACCAAGATTAGATGCAATATATCTGACTTTGCCAAAGATAGATTTCTCTTATAAAATGAAATTTTAGTGTAACTTTAGAAGTCTTTCTTTTTATTTGTCTATAGTCAAGTGTTACATCGAGACCGTTCAGAGCTGAGTAAAGCTGACAATGGCTCCATGAAACATGCTCCCTTGACAAACAAAAAATCTTTTAGGAGTTACTGATTACTATAAGTTGAGAAGCGGCAAAAATAGTTATGAAGTAGTGCAGGATTCAAAAAACATTTGAAGAAATTGAAGAATCAATTTGAAAATTATTATTAGTCTCATTGAATCTTTATCATATTATGAACGAGTAGAACTATAAAAAGCAGTTGAGTATTAGTGTACAGCATGAACTTCTTTAAATGCATACTCAAACGGACACTCTTATTAGGCATGTGCTAGATGAAGTTTTGTTTTTTAATGTAGAATTCTTTTTCAAGATCAAACAACGTCATCTTCTTGTAATAAAGCATTTTGTCCAAATCAAATATTAGTACCATTTTCTTGTTTCATATACATTTCGGAAAATTAAATGAATACGTATCTTTTTTTCCTTTGAAAATATATTTAATGAAATAGACATAGTATAGTTTATAGTAAATAAAAGAAAGGTATATGAACCAATCAATGAACAATATGTGTTGCTACAGTGAGTTCTTGAACTATATTAGTTATCATGTTGTAGTAAGAAAAACATATAACAATATAATAGTGAAGAAAAAAAGACATGTTGATATATTTGGTTCTTTTTTTTTCTCTTTATACACCAGAGAGTGAAAAAGCAAAGAAAAAAAAACATAAAATGCGTCTTTATGTTTTTTTTTGTCTCGATCTTCTTCTGCAAAATATACAGAAGATGTGTGAACCATTCAATATAGAAAACATGATCATATAAAAATTGTTTTTTCTGCAAAAGGAAAGCCCATCCATCATCATAAAACGTCTGGATTTCTAACATCAAAAAGTTTTACTGTTACGTACAACTTAAATTATCGTAAACTACAGGTTATTGAATCGATTCTTTTTGTAAAAACGTTGTGATAGAAAACATTTTCAAGTAAAATAATTGAACCGAAAATTAAACAATAGATCTTTGAAAAGTTCTTAGTATTTCGAATGTGGTTGATTTGATAATTAATTGATGTCAAATAGTATTACTGATAACTATTCTATTGATTATAGATTAATAAATCGCATTTTGTCTTCAATAAAAATAGGAATTAGTTTTTCTACAAAAAAGTCAGTGAGATTTGTTTTTTCTGAGATCGCTTATTTGTTCGTTTTGTTTTGATATTGATATTGATATTGGTATTGAATGCATTTTGAAATCTTGTATAATCAAGAGATACTGCCTGAAATTGGCAAAGGTAATGAAATGAAGATTTTTCAACTGAAAAAAACTAGATCTCGTTCGGCAAGATACAATTCAAAGCATTCATGATTTTATAAATAAGAAAATAAATGCTTGATCACGTGAAACCATTCGAATTATTGAAACACTTTTTAAACAACGTTCTCGAAATGAACTGACTAGTATTAGAAATCAATTTTATGATCGACACCGACACCTTGAGAACCTGAATTAGTTTTATTTATTGCAACCATTATTTTTTAATGTTCATTAATTTTTCGAAGACGATAGTCGTGGTATCGCAAAATGTTTTTACCAAGCTTTCTTTCTAACCCAAGGTTGACCAATGCTCAATATCAATTTAGCATTTGCGTGTTTTTACCTGCCATTAAATTTCATTGATTTTGCTTCCAAATATTTACGAAAAAATGTCATGAAAGACTTGCAAGAAAGAAATATAAAATTCTTTGAACTAATGATTCGAAACTTGTCCAATATGGTAAGATTTCATATTGTTTCTTTTTAAAAAATGTTTTTATTAGTTGAAACCATGCATACTGGTAGCATAATATTGTATCGAATACGTGGTTTTGGTCGTTCTGCTGATCAACTTATGTTCTGTAGTGTTAAAGATGATGAAGAAGCTGTGGATGCTGCTGCCAGCGAAGAGATCAGTATTGCAGATTATTTTACGCAAAACTTCAGAAAACTGATGTATCCATACTTACCATGCATTGATGCAATGAAAGAAAGTCAGAAGAAACCAAACTGGTTATCTATGGAAGTTGTCAGAGTAAGTTGATTACATGAATTTCATGCCATTGCAAGTAGTCGAATGGCAGCGTGCATTAAAACCATTGGAGAAACAACAGCAAGGTCTTGTTTCTAGAAATACAATCATCAAACCAGGACAGCGTTACGATGAAATTATGAATATTGTATATAACAATCAATTTACTAGAGATCCTTATCTCAAAGAACTAAGTATTCATGTTGATGAGCAAGGAATGGTGCAAACCAAAAGTAACTTATCCTTCTTTCTTTTATTTTGTTTACAACTCAATTGGTTTACATTTAGGACATGTACTATCACCTCCAGAAATCGAATACCATCGTGGTGGTACATAACGATTATGTTATTGAATGTCTTGCTTGTAGTAAATGGCGATAGATCTAATAGAATGACGATGAATATTCTAAACGAATTAAAAAATCGGCTACACAATATAATCTTGTTTCAGCTAATTTTTATTAGTACTTTGAATTTTTTCTTTCAGTTATTTAAGCGCAATTGTTTCGTGTTGACGACAGTGGGTTCACTAGAAAATGATATTAACATTGCTTTACCTGATGCGAGTAGAAAAACTTGGCAATTAGTTATTGTTGTGCTTAATAGCTACGACTCAGATATTCTCTTTAATCTTGTTAAAAAGTATGCCAATTGAAGAATTGACTTAATGAGTTAATGCGCCAATTTGCAAGCTTTAAAAAATAACATGGGCAAGCTGAACATGTGTAAGTAAATAAATAAAAACACTAACATTTGAGAGTCATAACAGATTTGAAAAAAAACCTAGATTTGAGTTTCATAGTAGAGAACAATTACATATGTTCTCTTATTCAATGAATAGAGTATTAAATATTTTAGATGTCGAAGAGGTAAGTCAAAAAATTAATGGAAAATTAAGCGATATCAATAGTGCTATCGATATTAAATCAGCTCTTAGTCGTTCTTCAAAAGAAGAGAGTGTGGATGTGGGTGTGAATATTTTTTATACCATTTCACTCATACCACCACCCACACCCTTAAAAATGGACCAGCATTAATACGTTTCACAGTGATGAAGACATGTGTCTCGAAAATGCGGTTTTGTCGCAGAAGTTTCACCTATGAATTGTATTAATGCAATTCAGAACAGTATAATCAATATAAACACGAAATGACTTAACTAGAATAGTCAATTCTTTCTCAAAGCAATTTTTATCTAGAAATAGAACAAATAATAATCTTCCTATTAGTTGAATGCCTTAATTCTTATTCATATAAAGGACAGGAATATTTCTCTAACATATTTATCTTCGTGGAGGATAACACGAGAGACGTAAAAAAAAACCATACCTCATCTATATGGAACAGGCACGAGCAACCATAGAATAGACGATAAGAAAACAGAACGAGAAAAAATAGAATGAGAAAAGAAGGACAAATAACAAACAAGTCTCTACCAAATACACTCCGCTGTCGTATAACTCAAAGAAAAACAACATGTCACTATATTTTGCATAACTATTTTCTTTTCACAATGGCTACATCAACTTTTCATTCTAAACCAACTGCACTCGAAGTTGTCAAAGGACTAAATGCAAAATTACATGGAAAAGTCGTGATAATCACTGGTGCAACATCAGGTAAACAAATCAAATTAGGTAAGTTTTATTAAAAAATTCTTCAATTATTTTAAGGTATCGGTATTGAAACTGCTCGTGCTTTGGCATCTGCAAATGCACATATTATAATTACAGCGCGAGATAAAAATAAAGGTGCAAAAGCTGTTGAAGATATTAGAAAAACAACAGCTAATGATAAAGTTGAAATGATGGAAATGGATCTTACTTCATTTGAATCTGTCAGAAATTTTGTTTCTCAATTTCGAACACGTAAATTACCAATTAATATTCTTATTTGTAAGTCAAATATTTTATTATTCATCTCGATTCACTGTATACATGGTAGGCAATGCAGGAATTATGGCATGTCCATATGCAAAGACAGTGGATGGTTTTGAATCACAATTTGGTGTTAATCATTTGGCTCATTTTCTTCTTACTACTAGTCTTTTGCCTGAACTCATAGCGGGAAATCCATCACGTGTTGTTGTGGTGAGTTCACTTGCAAATAAACGTGGTGGTATCAATTGGGATGATATCAATTGGGAGAAAAATTATGATAAATGGCTTGCCTATGCTCAGAGTAAAACGGCTAATATTCTTTTTGCTAAACAACTCAATAAATTATATGAATCACAAGGTATTCGAGCATATTCTTTACAACCAGGTGGAGTTTTGACCAATTTACAACAACATATACCAGAAAAACAACAGCGTGCAATGGGATGGTATAGGGATGATGGTACACTTATTGATATTTTCAAAACTGTTACACAAGGTGCGGCGACTATTGTCTATGCTGCTTTGGCACCTGAACTTGACAATCATGGTGGAGCATATCTTGAAGATTGTGCGATTAGTAAAGGTGTCAATACAAATAAGACAGCTTGGGGCATAGCACCACATGCGGCGGATATGGAAGCAGCTGAACGTTTATGGAAACTAAGTGAACAAATGGTATCAACTAGATAAATGAAAAACTCATAATTATTCTCTTGTATAAACTGAAAAACTTGGTTTTAATGCTTTCTATTAATCTTACAAAAATAAACATATAATTAAAACAGACTCATTCTTTCAAATAGCAAAAACAATACGTACTAGTACAAGTTTTATTTTCAACATCCGCAGTTTTTGTGTTCTCAGTTAACTGAACTATCTAACAAATGTTTTAGCGTTACATAAGCATTCTTACATATGTAAATTCATATCTTCTGCATGCTTTTTGCTCTTTTACTAATTGAATTCGATTTATCAATGATCAAGTAGAATGAGAATATTTAGTGAAAAAGAATTTTTACTTCATAGAACATCTTCACTCAGACAGCATTTCGAAATTTTTGGTCAAAAGAGAAAGATATGTTCATTTCTATCATTTAATATTATTCGATTAGACAGATGATATTTTTTGTTGTTGGACAGACCGATAGACAAAAACCATTTTTGTGCGATATATCCTTGCTTTCAAAAAGGAAAACAGTGATCATGTTTCTTTGAAAAATACATGCGACTTCTACGATAATAACAAGTGTGCATTCTTATCTTCAATTTCAAGAACAAGTAAATGTTCTTTTTGTTGTTTGATGAAACAAAAAAGATATTTTTCTCGTAGTATATTATTATTTTACTTTCTTTTAATTATAACATGAGAGGAGTATTGTTATTAGGTTTCTTTGTTGTTCTTACCACATCTAATGTATCTCACAGTCAACCAGACATAGAAAGTGATACATGGGTAGCTATCGCTGGTCTTGATCGAGCACTATCGAATATAACTCAGGTTGGACCACCACGAGCTAATCGTACAGTTGGAATTTTCTACTTTTTAACTTTGTGCAATGATGGAATATTAAGTGGACCATACGATATATCAAAAATTCTCAAGGTACATCCTGAAACACTCTATAATTTGCACGATCCTCACTGGAGATCATTCTATGGTTCTAATCATTTGAGGTGAAAGTCTTTTTGGTTATTATGTTATTGATGACGATTTTATTCCTCGTAAACAGGCATCTATGGTTGTAAATGGTGGTGTTGATGCCATTATTTTTTATGCTTCAAATGCTGTAACTTATTGAGATGGTTATCAAAATCTTTATTGCATTTATACGGATACCCTAGCCAACGGTGGACGAACACCACAGGTTGCTTTCTTTGTCCATTTGGTAATCCGGAAGATATTGAAAGGAAGACAACATGAGCAGTCTATGATGATTTATATGCTAATGTATCGTATATCTTTGGTAAGTAAAAAAAAAATTCATCAAGTCATATTCTTAATTGTATTTGTAAAGCTACTGGTGTGCTAACTCGTATTTATGATAATCAACAAGTCCCTATGATTGAAATGAGTGGTATCGAATTAGGAGCTGGACGACGATATAAAATAGGTTATAGAAAAAAAGAAAGCTGAGTTTTTTCTTTACCTTATATGAATTGTACAAACAACATTTCTGAGTGTGGGTGAGCGGATATAGATGCAAATGTTGGTGAGGGATATGGATATATGTGGTGAAATAATCAGCTACATAGACACCATTACCTCACACCCACATCCTTAAGATAAGAGTTTCCCCAGACGTTTTCCATTGAGAAGGGTCTTTTTTCCTTCATTTTTATTTTGGAGTAGAAGAAACTAATATTTCTATGAGATAAATTCTTTCTTGCCAGAAAATAAATTATGTCCACATGTTCCATAGCAAAAGCTCACTGTGTCTCGTAATAATCTTGAAATCTTTCATTGCATCATATGATCAAGAGTTGGTCTCTATTAATAATTTTTCTTCCCTTCAAGGTATGCCTGTTTTTGTGAAAAACGTATAAATTTTTTTCAGTCGGCGCATTTCTTGAGGATGCTGGTTTATTGCTTTCATGTCTAACACCTCTATAAGGATATAATATTTGAAGTTTATTGCGAAACCTAATTCATTATCAACTCGTATAATCATGTTTTAATATATATATGGTTTGATGTGATACTTGAAATAGTGGCTGTCTAAACATATTCTATAGAAATCAGGAAGCAAAAAGACTCTGCTAGTCATGCCTTTTAGCGTCTCAAGAGACTCAGCTTTAACGTATGTTTTTGGGAGACTTGCATTGTAAAACGATTTTTGAATGGAAATCAATGACAATAAACTGAAAACTGAAGCTTCTTTATATAGAATATAATAGTTGATTTGTTTTTAATTAACTGCTCGATAGTGTTGATCATTTGATTTCCAAACAGCCCCCAAATCTCTTTTAATTAGTGATAAACCTAATAAAATGTTCATAACATAGTAAAAGAGACCCATGGGTGAAATATCCGTGCAAACGCACTTGATCATTTCAAACAGATTTCTCGTGAGTAAGAACCTATGAAAAAAAATTTTGTCAAAAAAGTTTAAACAATTTTTGTCGAAGGCAAGATTCTGGTGCACACTCATTGATCAGAAATTGTCCATAGAACAAAAAAAAATCTATATTAAAAGTTTATTAGATTAACCACTTAATCGTTTTGATTTAAATTTTGAACTTAGCTCATCATTCGCTAGCTGACTTATATTTAATTTATATGTGTCTTGCAAACGCATTGATCCAATAGAGGATCCTACGTTATTTTTTCATAGAAAACATTTCAAAGCACAAGAATAATGAAAGAAAAGGATTTATTTATCAGTATAATCTTCAAATGTAGGAAGTAACCATTTATTGGTATTGTCTTTTGAAAAGTCTACAAAGAAAAAACGAATTAAAGAATAAAATCATAGTTTTCTTATAAGACGATTTACACTTGTCGTTAGTATTTCTTCAATATTATTTCAATCAGTTGTTAAATGTTTGATAATTAAATATGATTTAACTAGTTTACCAAAATAATATTCTTCATTTCCTTGTGGTTGACGAATTGTATCTTTGATAACATTAATAAAACATAACGACACAAAAATCAAGTAACTAAATCAATTAAAAGATACATTTTGTTTTTCGATAATTACTTTTCTATATGATCTAATCGTTCATATTCTTGTGTTGGGTGTATTTGTAATTTTTTAGCTAAAGCAATTTTAATATTTAAGGAGTTATATGTGTTATTGGTGTTAACGCTTTATTATGAATAAGAATTGATGTGATAATAATAAAGCAAAAATATTTGTATTTTTCTAGAGAAAATCTAAAAGAAAAAACAACTATCAAGTCTTCATGACTCTGACTGAATATGTTACTGACATAAGAAAATAAATCAGACGTAGATTACTCAAGCAACACGATACAAGAGTTAGTTTCATAACTACAACATTCTTTCCTAATTTCTCCGATTTTTCCCTCAGACAAAACAGGTTTGCTGCAGATAAACACCAATCTAGTATTTTTATCAAGCAAATATGTACAATAGCTCACTAAACCCTTTGACTGGATTAGTATTCAACTGATCGGAAGGGTGTGGGTGTGGGTGTGGGTGTGGGTGTGGGGTGGGTGTGGGTGTGGGTACGGCTGTATGTTTTGGTGTGTGACAAAGAACATCAACACACCCACACCCACACCCACACACCCACACCCACACCCCCCCACACCCACACCCACACCCACACCCCACACCAACACCCACACACCCACACCCACACCACACCACCCACACCCACACCCACACACCCACACCACACCCACACCCACACCCTTGTGTTATAGTATTATGTGAAACAGAAAAGCTCAACTTGAATCTTTTGTTCTAATTGATTCAAAATTTCATCTATATTAAGAGTTCGAAGATTATAGATACGTATATCTTTTAATTGAAGATTATTTATTGTTTTTGCACTGTATTAAGTTTTTGTATAAAATCAAAGTAAAATTCTTTGGTCAAGTTATTCATTTGGTTTTTCATTATTGTATCCTCTTTTTTACACGTCTTTTTATATTATATTAGCTCAACTTTAGTAATCTAACGATTGATATTTACATATAGTTTTAGTGTTTTGGTGAAACTAAAACATTTTCAGAGATTTACATTAGTACTCATCAGATTCATTGTGTGATATTGTATCTTCTGATATCACTATGAAATCAACGAAAAACATACACAGTTTCGGCTATCAGATATATTTCTTTATAAAGATTAGAGTAAATTGTATGGTTCTCGTTCATCATAAATAGTGAACATAAAGAAATTATAGATTGATGATGAATGTTTATTACTCGTGAGACTATAACAATGATTTACTAGATCTTACATATATTATTTATTTATCACGGTCATATTTTAATTGTAAGTTTTTACTGTTTCTTAGTTTTCAGTTATCGGATGTGCAAAATATGATGAAACTTCGATATGTAAAATAAAACAAAACATATTATGTGTTTGTTTCTTTTCATGTTGTGATCTTCAAGAAGATCTTTTTTTGGTTTAGATTGTCTTATACAAAAATAAATATATCAATTGATATTTATTAGAAATTCGACAGTTATAAATACTGATGCGTATTCAATTATTATCGAAAATGTCTTTGTTCATGTTACTATATTTAATCACAGAAAATATTAAATTGATAAAGGATAAGCGTCAGTAAAGGGTTCCTTATTGATGAATCATTTGGCATAGTTGTTTATGACTCCTTTGAGAATTCTTGACACTATCATTTATATGTAAGAAGTTTTGAGCGTATTCTGACATCAGTGTTTATTCAGATGGTTAATTTTAAGAGTTCATGTTGAAACATATAGTCATGAAAAAATAAGTTTACAGTTAAAAGAAAACAATCCATCACAATTATACTAGTGTTTAGAATTTCAACAAAACGAAAAAGTGATCTAAATGTTAGGAGATGAAATCATATTGTCTTTCAGTATTCTTGAAATCTTTCTTTGTTAGCATTTCGTATAGATAAATGAATCAAAATACGATAAGAGGATGATATATGCACAGACAAAAAAGTCGAACTAGTTTTTGGATCGCATCATAATGTTACTATCAATATTCATGCAATATTACGTCATAATTTCATAAATTTCACAAACAAAACATAAAATTCAAATAAAATCTTACTTCTGATGATGAAATCTAATGTTTATGAGAACGTATGAAATTTCCAGCGCCCTCTGAAGTAAGTACATTCTTTTCTATATATGAGATGAGTCACTTCTCTCTGCTACAACCAGTTACACTCAACTCCTTTTCTCTTTTATTTGTCATGAGTAATTATGTGTCATCAATATTATATTTCAAATTTTCTGTCCTCATCTCGAACGTTCGAGCGGTGAATCATTCTTACACAACATAGAGTATAAAAACAGCAACTTTTTTCACATTCCTTCATTCACTATTACTAAACATATAGTTATTTCTTTTCATTGTTTACTTGCTATTCAATACTAAAAATGCAAATCTTTGTAAAAACTCTCACTGGTAAAACAATTACACTCGAAGTCGAACC